AAACTAGTTAAATAGTTATGACTACTTGAGCAATTATTTATTTCAAATCATTACGACTTTTTAATAATTATTAATAAATAATTTATATAAACAAAAATAATTAATATAACTATAACAATATATATGTTAATTATAATTATAAATTAAAAGATTATGTTTAATTATATCTATTATATTTATCAAATATAAATAATTAATTGATTTTATAATTTGGTAAAATCAAATAGTCATAATTATTTGAACTAGTTATATAATTTAACTATTTTGTTAATTACTAATAAATATAAGTTATTTATATTTATTAGATATAACTTATTTCTAAAAATAGATTCAAAAATAATATATATTATGATAAAATCCTCACTCGCACAAATTATAAAATTATAAAACTTATTATAATTAATTATAGTTGTCGTAACGGTTTTGTGTCCGCCCGACGAATTTGGAAACGAAATAAAAAATAACGGAGTCGCCACCAATCTTTTTTGGCTAGGTGCGATTGGCCACCTATTAAAACATATCCTTTTAATGAAATCTTAAAATTAATTAAAATTTATTAAAAAGATAATTTTACGGTCTGCGAAACAGTCTGGGTTCGGGAGTCGATTACGCGTGGGGAAGGATTAGCACCCCCACAACGCCCGTTAAAAAACGGTACCAATTAACAACGTGTTATCCTTTGATTTTGATACAAACAGTCTTATTTTCAGCATTCGAAAAATAATTTCTTTGATTTTTTTATTTATTAAAATTATTCTTGAGAAAAATAAATCAAAACCTTTTTATTGAAATAATTCTTAAAATGTTCCAGTACGTTGGTAACATTAAAAGAACTCTTTCTCACCTAGAGATTTCTTAAAGCATCTCTACTCGGAATACTTTTAGAATCTCATCTTTGGAGGCTCGAATTTACTTTTCGTAAGAAAATGTCATGTAAAAAAAAATTTATTCTCGAGAAAAATAAATTAAAACCTTTTTGTTGAAATAATTCTTAAAATGTTCCAGTACGTTGGTAACATTAAAAGAACTCTTTCTCACCTAGAGATTTCTAAAGCATCTCTACTCGGAATACTTTTAGAATCTCATCTTTGGAGCGTCTAAATTTACTTTTCGTAAGAAATTATGTTATGCATGCCATGCAAAATATTTTCGTATTTATGCACACATTTTATTCTCATTCAAAAATTTTATTAATTATTTTATTATTTTATTAATTTTAATTAAAATTTTGAAGAAAAAAGGAATTTAATTCATATTGAAGATTTTCTATAAATATTCCAATACGCTGGTAATATTTTACAAAAAATCTTCTCACCTAGAGATTTCTTAAAGCATCTCTACTCGGAATACTTTTAGAATCTCATCATGGATTAAATTTATTTTCTTCTTATTTTTATTACTTATATTTTATTTATTAATCAATTTTATTTATTATTAAAAAAAAAAAATCTTTACTGTATTGAAAATTTTTTATAAATACTCCAATACGCTGGGTAGTACTTAAAAAAAATCTTCTCACCTAGAGATTTCGTAGGCATCACTACTCGGAATACCTTTGAATCTCATCATCGGATAAAAATTTCCTCTTCTCTTATTTTTATTAGTTATATTTTAATTTATTAATCAATTTTTATTTTATTATTTTTTAAAAAAGAAAATCTTTACTGTATTGAAAATTTTATATAATACTCCAATACGCTGGTAGTATTTTAAAAAAATCTTCTCACCTAGAGATTTCGTAGGCATCACTACTCGGAATACCTTTGAATCTTCATCGTCGCGAATAAAATTTCCTTTTTCTTTCATTTTTTTACTACTTTAGTATTATTATTAAATTTATTTTTTATGTTATTGTTTTTAAAGTTTATTCTAAAAAATAACATAATTATATAAAAAATTATTTAACCACAATTTCATTAATTAGTCTAACAAATATAGATATTTTAATATGCATAAATATTAATAAAATAATACTTAAAAAATAAGAAAAATTCAAAAAAAAAAATTTTTTTTTACCTGAACCGGACCGGTCAACGGTCCGGTCAACTCCTGGTTCGGTTCGGCGGTTCGGTTCGGTCTGGTTGGTTCGGTCCGGCGGTTCAGTTCGATCTGGTTGGTTTGGTCCGGCGGTTCGGTTCGGTCCAGTCAGACCGGTCAGAGATGATAAAGGCAGCGGGTCGCGGGTCGGGTGCGCGGACCCCGGGTCGGGTCGCGGGTTGACGCGCGGATCCTCCTTGGCTGAAACGGCGTCGTTTTGGGTCTTTATCTAAACGACGTCGTTTTGAGATTTTGCTTTACTATATATAGCTGAAGATTTTTTTTTTTGGTTCATTTGGCTTCTGTTTCAGAAAAAAAAGGGAGAGAGGGAGAGAGAGAGCTCTGGGGGAGAGGTCGTCGGTCGGTTGCCGGAGCACCGTGCTGGCCGCCGTCTGGCTCGCCGCCGGCAGTCTTGGACGGTGGTTTCCGATGACCGGGAAAGGTGAAAATTCTTCTGGAAGTTCTCTTCGACGCGATCTTTCCAGATTCGGTGTCCTTTTTATCGGAAACAGCCCTGATCGACGTAGATCGGGGCTCAAAGTTTCGGTCTCTCTTTTTTCTTTTTTTTTTTTTCTTTGAATCTGCTGATCTCTCTCTTTTTTTTTCAGGTGGCTTTCTGGCGCTGGGTTCCCCGTTCCAGGGGACTGTTGTTTTTTTTTTTTGTGTGTTTTTGCAGAATTTTTTTTACAGAAGCTGCCTTCTTCTTTTTTTTTTTTTTCCGTCCTCTCTTTAGTCTAGTTTACAAGCTCTATTTATAGAGCTTGTTGGATTCAAATCTCAGATTTTCTAGGATTCGAATCTCATTTTTCAACTGAAAAATCATACCTACCGTCCGTGATTGGTGGCTTGTCGGGAGGTTGATCGGGTAGTTGGTCGGACCAGTTCGGCGCCGTACCAACCCCTTGACTTTTGTTTTATTTCTGTTTCTTTTGTTTGTTTATTTTTTGTTTTTTTGTTTGTTTTGTTAAATATTATTATTATTAAAATAAAACAGTAGATCCGGACAAAACCGGTGTCTACAGCTGCCCCTCTTTGCACATTACTGAGAATCAGGAATAGGGCAAAGACAAAGACAACGATTTTGTCCGAAGATAAATCATGATTTTTTTTTATTTTATTTTTTTATTTTTGAAAGGGCTCCTCTCAGCAGAGGTTCAACAACTTTAAAATCTCATCTGAAAATCTTATTTGAAAAAGCTCCTCTCAACAGAGGCTCCACAACTTTAAAATTTTCATCTTGTAAAAGCTCCTCTGTTCTCAGCAGAGGCTCAACAACTTTAAAATCTCATCTGAAAATCTTATTTGAAAAAACTCCTCTCAACAAAGGCTCCACAACTTTAAAATTTTCATCTTGAAAAAGCTCCTCTCAGCAGAGGCTCAACAACTTTAAAAAAATCTTATCTGAAAAAGCTCCTCTCAGCAGAGGCTCAACAACTTTAAAAATTCATCTTGGAAAAAGCTCCTCTCAGCAGAGGCTCAACAACTTTTAAAAATCTCTCTTGAAAAAGCTCCTCTCAGCAGAGGCTCAACAACTTTAAAATTCATCTTGGAAAAGCTCCTCTCAGCAGAGGCTCAACAACTTTAAAATTTATCTTGGAAAAGCTCCTCTCAGCAGAGGCTCAACAACTTTAAAAATCTCTCTTGGAAAAAGCTCCTCCCAGCAGAGGCTCAACAACTTTAAAATTTATCTTGGAAAAGCTCCTCTCAGCAGAGGCTCAACAACTTTAAAAATCTCTTGGAAAAGCTCCTCTCAGCAGAGGCTCAACAACTTTTAAAATCTCTCTTGAAAAAGCTCCTCTCAGCAGAGGCTCAACAACTTTAAAAATCTCTCTTGGAAAAAGCTCCTCTCAGCAGAGGCTCAACAACTTTAAAATTCATCTTGGAAAAGCTCCTCTCAGCAGAGGCTCAACAACTTTAAAATTCATCTTGGAAAAGCTCCTCTCAGCAGAGGCTCAACAACTTTAAAAATTCTCTCTTGGAAAAGCTCCTCTCAGCAGAGGCTCAACAACTTTAAAAATCTTATCTTGGAAAAGCTCCTCTCAATAGAGGCTCCACAACTTTAAAAATCTTATCTGAAAAAGCTCCTCTCAACAGAGGCTCCACAACTTTAAAAATTCTCTCTTGAAAAAAGCTCCTCTCAGCAGAGGCTCAACAACTTTAAAATTTTCATCTGTTTTCAAATTTGAGTTTTCATCTTTGAACAAGTAAATTTCTCTCTTCCTTTGTTTGGTCATTGTCTTTACCAAAATCTTTTTTTTTTTTTTTTTTTTTTAAGAGAAGGAAAATTTTTATCTTTGTTACAACTTCTCATGGATGCATGTACTGAGTGCTCATGATGCAATGCATGTAATGCAATCAAAATCGTTCATTGTAGTAAAAAGCTTCTCAAAATCTCTCGCTTTTGACTTCTTTTATCCGAATTCTTATATGACCAATCTGTCTTCAACATCTGACCATAATAGTTTTTTCTTCAAAAGTCTGCAACATCAATGTCTTGTCATGCTTTTCTCATCCTTTTTCATTTGCCTTTGTCAACTTTAAAAGTAATGCTGAGATCTTTCATATTTGTTTTTCTTTTCATCATTTTAAGTTCAAGACAAATAAAATGCAATCACATTTCTCTGATGGACAAAAAATATCAAATAAGGATAAAGGAAAGGATAGGCATTAGTTTCAAATGAAGGATAATGTATTTCCTATGGTTGATAACAAGTGTATGTCAAAGTGTTTGAGTTGAAATAAAGGTGTCAAAAGAATGATCACAAGATAATCATGAACAAAATATTCTCAGATTCTTTCTCTAAAACTAAATCAGATGACTTTCTTGATTATTCAGAGTTCGTCAAACTACACTTGCCCCTGCATTATGGGATCTTTTCTTGATGATGCTTTTGCTTCACATCTAAGCCGCCTTTTCAGGTTTTCAACTTAGATAAGTCATCATTTTTTCTTTTTTTTTTTTTTTAAGCAAAATATTTCTTCACAACATCTGAATTTATTGGGGTAGGTAAATCACCTCCGTCCATTTCTGCCAAAATCAATGCCCCACCAGAAAAGGCCTTTTTCACCACATACGGGCCTTCCCAATTTGGTGTCCATTTCCCCCGATTATCATGTTGATTTGGAAGAAATCTTTTTAGCACTAAGTCTCCTTCCCTGAAGCAACGGGGATGAGTTTTCTTATCATGTGCTCTCATCATCCTCTTTTGATATAATTGACCATGACAAAGTGCTGACAATCTTTTCTCTTCGATGAGGTTTAACTGCTCGTAGCGATTTCAAACCCATTCTGCTTCCTCTAACTCTACCTCCATCAAGACTCTAAGTGAGGGAATTTCCACTTCGACTGGTAGCACAGCTTCCATACCATATACCAAAGAGAACGGTGTGGCTCCAGTAGACGTTCTGACTGATGTTCTATAAGCATGCAAGGCAAAAGGTAACTTCTCATGCCAATCTTTATAAGTTTCAGTCATTTTTTTCAGGATTCTCTTGATATTCTTATTCGCAGCCTCCACTGCCCCATTCATCTTCGGACGATATGGTGCCGAATTACGATGACGGATCTTGAACTGAGTGCATACTTCATTCATCATTTTGTTGTTCAAGTTTTTGGCATTATCAGAAATAATTGTCTCCGGAAGTCCATATCTGCATATTATCTCTCTTTTCATGAACTTACATACCACAGATCGGGTCACGCTAGCATATGATGCAGCTTCTACCCATTTGGTGAAGTAATCAATAATTACAAAAATGAATCTATGCCCATTCGAAGCTTTTGGAGTGATGGGACCAATAACATCCATGCCCCACATAGAGAATGGCCAAGGTGGAGCTAGAACATGTAATGTTGATGGCGGAGCATGAATCTTGTCAGCATAAATCTGACATTTATGACATCTCTAGCATAATCAATACAGTCTCTCTCTATTGTCAACCAATAATAGCCAGCCCTCATAATTTGTCTAGCCATCATATGACCATTTGCATGTGCCCCACAAACTCCATCATGCACTTCTTCAATAATCTTTTTTGCTTCAGCTGCATTTACACATCTTAAGAGCACTTGATCTCGACCTCTTTTGTAAAGGATATCTCCATCAATGAAGAAATTCATAGCCAATCTTCTAATAGTTCTTTTATCATTTTCTGTTGCATGTTCTGGGTACTGCTGGCTTTTAATGTATTGCATGATATCATGATACCATGGCCTTCCATCAATTTCTTTTTCAACACCTGAGCAATGTGCTGGTATATCTTTCACATCCAGCTTGATGGGTTGGATTTCAGTATTTGCATCTATTTTGATCATTGCAGCTAGAGTAGCCAGTGCATCAGCAATTTGGTTTTCCTCTCTGGGTAGATGCTCAAACTGAACTTCTTTAAATTGCTTAACCAACTCAGAGATGTATTTATGGTACCGAATCAACTTAGAGTCTCTTGTTTCCCATTCACCTCGTAACTGATAGATGACTAAAGCTGAATCTCCAAACACATCTAACACTTTGATCTTCTTTTCAATTGCTGCTTGTAGACCCATAACACAGGCCTCATATTCAGCCACATTGTTTGTGCAATTAAAATTTAATCTGGCTGTGATGGGGTAATAATGTCCATCAGGAGATATCAAAATTGCCCCAATACCATGACCCAAAGCATTAGCAGCTCCATCAAAATACATCCTCCATGATTTTTCAACAGGTTCATTTTTTTCAATGGCCATCACATCCTCATCAGGAAAATCTAATTTCATTGGCTCATAATCTTCGACTGCACGATCAGCAAGGAATTCAGCTATTGCACTCCCTTTAATAGCTTTTTGAGTCACGTAAATGATATCATATTCTGAAAGCATAACTTGCCACCGTGCTATTCTTCCTGTCAATGAGGGCTTTTCGAAGATATACTTAATAGGATCCAGCTTTGCTATGAGCCAAATAGTGTGATAAAGCATGTATTGTCTAAGCCTTCGAGCTGTCCAGGTTAATGCACAACACATCTTCTCTAATGGTGAATACTTTGACTCATAATCAGTGAACTTCTTGCTCAAGTAGTAAATTGCTCGTTCTTTCTTATCAGTTTCATCTCTTTGCCCTAGCACACATCCCATTGAATTTTCATGCACTGTCAAGTACAAAATCAAAGGTTTTCCTGGCATTGGTGGCACCAACACAGGTGGATTTGACAAGTATTCTTTGATCTTATCAAAAGCTTCTTGGCATTCGTCATTCCATTCTCCAGGATCATGTTTTCTGAGAAGCTTGAAAATAGGATCACACTTATAAGTGAGTTGAGAGATGAAGCGAGCAATATAATTTAATCTCCTTAAGAAACCTCGCACTTCTTTTGAGGTATGAGGAGGAGATAAGTTTTGGATGGCTTGTATCTTATCCGGGTCCACTTCGATTCCTTTTTCACTGACTACAAAGCCCAATAGTTTTCCTGATTTAGCTCCAAATGTACATTTGGCAGGATTCAACTTCAACTGAAATCTTCTCAATCTGTCGAACAGCTTTTTGAGATTGACTATATGATCCTCTCCTTCACGAGATTTTACAATCATATCATCCACATACACTTCTATCTCTTTATGCATCATGTCATGAAAAAGAGTCACCATTGCTCTTTGATAAGTAGCACCAGCATTTTTCAACCCAAAAGGCATGACTTTGTAACAGAATGTTCCCCACATGGTCACAAATGTAGTTTTCTCCATATCATCTCGAGCCATCTTGATCTGATTATAGCCTGAGAAACCATCCATAAAGGAAAATGTGAAGTGCCTAGCAGTATTATCCACTAGAGTATCGATGTGAGGTAAAGGAAAGTTATCCTTGGGACTTGCTCTATTTAGATCTCGATAATCGACACACATTCTCACTTTTCCATCCTTCTTAGGAACTGGCACTATGTTGGCTACCCATTCAGGATATTTTGCCACTTCTAAAAATCCAGCATCGAATTGTTTCTTCACTTCCTCTTTAATTTTCAGTAGCATCTCTGGTTTCATGCGCCTTAGCTTTTGCTGCATCGGCTTACATCCTGGTTTTAAAGGTAACTTGTGCTCTACAATATCAGTGCTGAGTCCTGGCATATCCTGGTAAGTCCACGCGAACACATCTACATATTCTCGGAGTAACTCTTCTAGCTTCTTTCTTTCAACTGGTAAAAGAGATGTACCAATTTTGACCTCCCTTTTATTCTCACCATCTCCCAAATTTACTGATTCAGTAATTTCTTGGTGGGGTTCAATTGGCTTATCTTCATGTTCTATTAATTTTAACAAATCAAGAGGCAGTGTGTAGTTATCTGAATCTTCCTCATTATCAAGTTCATCAACATGAATTAAGTTTTCAAAATCAAATCCGAGATTATTGCCATGATTATCTTCATGTTCATTGTTTGGAACCCTGCAAAAGGGTAAGATGAAGAGAATATTGGCACACAAAAATAGAATGGCAAGAAAATATAGGAAAGAAAAGAATGAAAGGTAAAATGAAGATAAAAAAAATAGAAAAAATATGGATGCATCTTCTAAGTCTTTTATTAAAATGACAAACATAAACACACCATAAAAGATCTCCTAATAAAAAGTAATTAGGGATTTAAAGTTTCACATTACTTTTCCAAAGTTTTAAAAACAACAGGCAGCTCCATAACTTTCCAATTATCCAGCTCAAAATCTGAAGGACAAGGGTACACGAACAACTCTTCACTTCGACTCTTCTTTTCCCCATCATCCACCATTTGAATGGCCAGCTCTGAAAATTTTTCCATGAATCCTGCACTTGAGGCTCTCGGTAAATCTGAATAAATGTATCCTCCTGAGTGAAAAGAATCATAGAGGTGTGGAATGACTATAGGCTCTGACTCCAGCTCATATCCCTTAAGATTAGCTATCCTCTTATCTCTTTTCTCATTCACCATTCTTGTTCTGTCCCCTCTTGTTGGCTTATATCCCAAGCCAAATCTATCTCTCTTTTCATTTATAGTCGATGGCTTCGTGATTCCTTGCAGGTTCTTCCCAAGTCCGGCTTCAGGTCGCCATCCCATCTTGGTAAGCTGTTTGACTACCATTTTAGTAGTCGTAGATAAGTATGGCGAATACAATTTAGATCCTCCAGCTATATATGTTGCATTGGCAATCTCGAAAGATCTATAAGAGCATTCTAAAGCTTCATCTGCTGATTCCACATAAGGAGTATTTATCGGTTGAGTTACCAATAAATCTTCTTCCCCTGCCACACATGTTAGCTTCCCTTCAACAATGAATTTGACTTTTTGATGTAATGAGGATGGAACAGCACCTGCCATATGGATCCACGGCCTACCCAATAAGCAACTGTATGAAGGAGAGATGTCCATAACTTGAAATTTCACATTGAAAATGCATGGGCCAATTTGCAATGGCACTTCTATATCTCCTAGCACCTCTCTTCTGGTTCCATCAAAGGCTCTCACTATCATATGACTAGGTTTCATATAAGATCCATCAACAGGAAGTTTTGTTAAAGTAGTCACAGGCATAACATTGATGGATGAACCATTATCAATCAAAACCTTAGCCATTATATGACTTTTACATTTCACAGTAATGTGAAGAGCCTTGGTACTTCCTCTACCTTCAGGAGGAATCTCTTCATCACTGAAAGAGATATAGTTTGAAATCGTCAGATTGCCAACAAGCTGTTCCACATATTCAACAGAAGCATTGTGAGACACATATGCTTGATTTAGCACTTTCAGCAAAGCATTACGGTGTGACTCTGAACTGAGCAATAATGACAATAGCGAAATTCTAGCTGGCATCTTGTTCAGCTGTTCTACCACGCTATACTCGCTATGTTTTATTAACTTCAAAAATTCACCTGCTTCACTTTCAGATACTGGCTTCTGCCATTCTTTTTCTAGGGTTGTGTCAAGACCACTCTGATTTTCATTTTCTTCTCCTACTTTGGCTTTCTCCTTTCTAGCTTTTTCTAGAGCTTCTGGGGTATAACACCTCCCACTTCAAGTTATGCCTCCTACACCCGTTATGTTGGCAGTATCTGGGTTAACTACGACATCATAATCATACTTCCAAGGTACTGTTTTATCATTCTGATATGGAAAAGGGCCAGGAACTTTAATTGTCACCACTGGTCGAGAGACGGGTTTTTCTAGCTTTGATGTTGGCTTTTCATCATAATAGATAGTTACCGGTCTACGTACAAACTTATTCTTTGAATCAATGGTAGACACTTCAGTTTTCACCAACTCTCCTCTTTCTTGATAAAACTCCATTCGACCTTCATCTATCAATTTTTGCACCTCCTGACGAAATTGATGACAATTCTGGATAGAATGCCCCAGAACACCTCTGTGATAATTGCAGCTTTCAGTTGAGTTTATTATTTCAGAGTAATTTTGAGGTTCTATTGGCTTCAACATGTCAGTTTTGACCAATACTTCGAACACCTTAGCCATAGGAGTTTTGACCTCTTCTATTCTTCTTTTCACATAGCTTGTTTGCCCATCAATCAAAGCATTTATTGATGGTCTGGTATGATTCGGTAGAGGGTTCCCATTGACATTTGGAGTCCCTTGTTGGCTGGTATCAAAATTTAATACTCCTTCATTGATTAACCCCTGCACTTTACGCTTCAAAGCAGTACAGTTCTCAGTGGAATGACCTGGATTCCCATAATGATAATCACAATGTGCATTGGGGTCATACCATTTGGGAAACGGAGGTTTCATAGGTTCAATGATAACAGGAGCAAGCAGATGTTTCTCAACAAGTCGAGGATACAAATCTGTATATGTCATGGGAATGGGATCGAAAGTGAGTTTTTCTTGGGTATTTCTTGGGGCTCTTGGACCACTATTAGGTCTCCAGTCTGGTCTTGTAGGTATAACAGGACGATTATAGGAATAGGTGGGTGTTTGAAAGGATGGCTGAAAATGGGGTGAATAAGCTGGTTGTGGTAATGACTGGTATGGTTGATATGAATGGGGGGGTGGATGTAACATGGTTTACAGAAGGGTAATGGGTTTGGTAGACTGGTACAGAGTAGGGTGTGAAACTTCTGAATTGTTGCCCCACAAAATTTACTGCTTGGGCCTCATTCTCTTTCTTTCTAGGAGCTCCACTCTTTCTTGCTCCACTTGTCTCTCCCACATCAAGCTTACCATTTTTTATGGCACTTTCAATGATCTCTCCTGATATCACCATATCTGTAAAGTTCTTGGTTGCATTGCCTATCAATCTCTCATAATATGGTGCTTTCAAGGTGTTCACAAATAAAATAGTTGTTTCTTTTTCAGTGAGAGGAGGTTGGACTTGTGCAGCCACATCTCTCCACCTTTGTGCATACTCCTTGAAGTTTTCAGTTGCTTTTTTTTCCATGCTTTGAAGAGATAGACGATCTGGAATCATATCCGTGACATGACGATATTGTGTAAGGAATGCCTTTGTAAGCTCTTGCCAAGAATGAATACGAGTTCTATCTAGTTGGACATACCATCTAGCTGCAGAACCCGTGAGACTATCTTGAAATATGTGCATTAACAACTTCTCGTCTCGAGCATATGCTGCCATCTTTCGACAATACATGATGATGTGGGTCATTGGGCATTTTGTGCCATCATATTTTTCAAATTCAGGGACCTTGAATTTAGTTGGAATTACCACGTCTGGAACTAAACAAAGGTCAGCCGCATCTGTGGAGCCATAAAAATTCATTCCCTCTACAGCCCTAAGCCTTTCTTCCAATAACTTCATCTTCTCCCGGGCACTAGTATCTTCTACCTTTTCAGGTGTCTGGATCCCTAGCTTTTCTCTTTCCTTGGGATCATCCAAATCAGGTACTAAGATTGGCTCAGATGGTTTTTCCATCATAATGGGATTAACAAAATTTTGAAATTGTCCTGGAGCAGGTGTGGATGTTATTCCTGGATAAGGATTAGGATATCCACCAGGAGTAGGAATTGGTACTCTAGTTCCTTGTGAAGGTTGGTTTAGTCGTGGCTCAAACCCTGGAGGATAGACAGGATCTACCATATCTGGCGATTGTTCTTGAAAGCTAGGATTTTCTTCCACTGCTTTTCCCTTGTCAAGTTTCCTGAGCATATCCATTATTGTACTAAGATCTCCTTTTTAGTTCTTCTTGAGCTTTCTCAATTCTCTCAAATCGACTGGCCTGTTCTGCTCCATGATTCTTGTCTGTGTCCTGGTATTGTATGAATGACGAGTAGGTTGGGGCGAAATTTTTGATGGGTGAGCTATTCTTGAACCTTTATTACCACAAAGTTTTTATTTTGAAAAAGAAAAAAATTAGAATGCTATGTGTTAAATTTTTATTTTTTGAAATTTTTTTTTTTAAAAAAAATGATTGCAAATGATGCATGAATGCAAAAAAATATTTGATATGATTAATGCAAAAAGGAAAAAGAGAAAGAAACAAAATTGAGTTAGTGTGAGATGTGGTTTAAGAAAAAAACATTTTTTTTTGTTTTGTTTTTGTGTTTTGAGATTTTTTTTTGTTTTGTTTTGTTTCGTATTATACACAACTTTTATTCTTAGGTATTTTCTACAAGAAGGTGGACGGGGCTCTACATAAGGCTGATTTCCTAGGCTTATTATATGCTGGGTTTGGATTGACAGGGTCTAAAGGTTCCCAAATTGTTCCTCACTGTCGTCCATATTGGACTAGTAAGGCACCCCGATCCTCACCCATTACAGGCTACGAACGGAAAGGGTTCAATTCGAGTGGAAGTATTTCGCTTGCCATTGCGGAGGTTATCACCTCACGAGAGCAATAGGTACTTTACTTCCTCCTATAAAGGACGGAGCCCGGGTATAGAGCTCATGTATGAGATGCATCGTGCCATTGTGTGCAAATATATCCTAATTTATTGAAAGCAATATATAAAATAAAACATAAGAGGCATAGTAAGATAAATGTATGTGAATTTTTTGCTTTTTATTGTTGATTTGTTTTGTTTTGTTTGGTTTTTCTTTTTTACCTTTTTTTTACTAAGAAATTGATTAAGACTATTTAAATCAAAATTTGAGGATAACAAGTAGTTAATTTTGGCCTGACTCTCGAAAACAAAAGGCGTCCCCAGCGAAGTCGCCAAGCTGTCGTAACGGTTTTGTGTCCGCCCGACGAATTTGGAAACGAAATAAAAAATAACGGAGTCGCCACCAATCTTTTTTGGCTAGGTGCGATTGGCCACCTATTAAAACATATCCTTTTAATGAAATCTTAAAATTAATTAAAATTTATTAAAAAGATAATTTTACGGTCTGCGAAACAGTCTGGGTTCGGGAGTCGATTACGCGTGGGGAAGGATTAGCACCCCCACAACGCCCGTTAAAAACGGTACCAATTAACAACGTGTTATCCTTTGATTTTGATACAAACAGTCTTATTTTCAGTATTCGAAAAATAATTTCTTTGATTTTTTTATTTATTAAAATTATTCTTGAGAAAAATAAATCAAAACCTTTTTATTGAAATAATTCTTAAAATGTTCCAGTACGTTGGTAACATTAAAAGAACTCTTTCTCACCTAGAGATTTCTTAAAGCATCTCTACTCGGAATACTTTTAGAATCTCATCTTTGGAGGCTCGAATTTACTTTTCGTAAGAAAATGTCATGTAAAAAAAATTTATTCTCGAGAAAAATAAATTAAAACCTTTTTGTTGAAATAATTCTTAAAATGTTCCAGTACGTTGGTAACATTAAAAGAACTCTTTCTCACCTAGAGATTTCTTAAAGCATCTCTACTCGGAATACTTTTAGAATCTCATCTTTGGAGGTCTAAATTTACTTTTCGTAAGAAATTATGTTATGCATGCCATGCAAAATATTTTCGTATTTATGCACACATTTTATTCTCATTCAAAAATTTTATTAATTTTATTAATTTTAATTAAAATTTTGAAGAAAAAAGGAATTTAATCATATTGAAGATTTTCTATAAATATTCCAATACGCTGGTAATATTTTACAAAAAATCTTCTCACCTAGAGATTTCTTAAAGCATCTCTACTCGGAATACTTTTAGAATCTCATCATTGGATTAAATTTATTTTCTTCTTATTTTTATTACTTATATTTTTTATTTATTAATCAATTTTTATTTATTATTAAAAAAAAAATCTTTACTGTATTGAAAATTTTTTATAAATACTCCAATACGCTGGTAGTACTTAAAAAAAATCTTCTCACCTAGAGATTTCGTAGGCATCACTACTCGGAATACCTTTGAATCTCATCATCGGATAAAAATTTCCTCTTCTCTTATTTTTTATTAGTTATATTTTAATTTATTAATCAATTTTTATTTATTATTTTTTTAAAAAAGAAAATCTTTACTGTATTGAAAATTTTTTTATAAATACTCCAATACGCTGGTAGTATTTTAAAAAAAATCTTCTCACCTAGAGATTTCGTAGGCATCACTACTCGGAATACCTTTGAATCTCATCGTCGGATAAAAATTTCCTTTTTCTTTCATTTTTTTACTACTTTAGTATTATTATTAAATTTATTTTTTATGTTATTGTTTTTAAAGTTTATTCTAAAAAATAACATAATTATATAAAAAATTATTTAACCACAATTTCATTAATTAGTCTAACAAATATAGATATTTTAATATGCATAAATATTAATAAAATAATACTTAAAAAATAAGAAAAATTCAAAAAAAAAAATTTTTTTTACCTGAACCGGACCGGTCAACGGTCCGGTCAACTCCTGGTTCGGTTCGGCGGTTCGGTTCGGTCTGGTTGGTTCGGTCCGGCGGTTCAGTTCGATCTGGTTGGTTTGGTCCGGCGGTTCGGTTCGGTCCAGTCAGACCGGTCAGAGATGATAAAGGCAGCGGGTCGCGGGTCGGGTGCGCGGACCCCGGGTCGGGTCGCGGGTTGACGCGCGGATCGTCCTTGGCTGAAACGGCGTCGTTTTGGGTCTTTATCTAAACGACGTCGTTTTGAGATTTTGCTTTACTATATATAGCTGAAGATTTTTTTTTTTGGTTCATTTGGCTTCTGTTTCAGAAAAAAAGGGAGAGAGGGAGAGAGAGAGCTCTGGGGGAGAGGTCGTCGGTCGGTTGCCGGAGCACCGTGCTGGCCGCCGTCTGGCTCGCCGCCGGCAGTCTTGGACGGTGGTTTCCGATGACCGGGAAAGGTGAAAATTCTTCTGGAAGTTCTCTTCGACGCGATCTTTCCAGATTCGGTGTCCTTTTTACCGGAAACAGCCCTGATCGACGTAGATCGGGGCTCAAAGTTTCGGTCTCTCTTTTTTTCTTTTTTTTTTTTTCTTTGAATCTGCAGATCTCTCTCTTTTTTTTTATTACTATTTTTATTATTACTATTTTTATTAATAATATTTAATACTATAATTATATAAAATATTTGAATAAATTTATATAAAATAAAATTTATTATTTATTATTTGTAATTGTAATTTATATATATTAATTAATTAATAAGTTTGATTAATATTAACAATTGCAATAATTAATATTAAATATTTTATTATAAATATATAATCATTAAATAGATTATAAATTTTACTTGTTAAGAATAAGCTCGTATAGATGGAAACAATTGTTTTATGATAAAACAAAAAAGTCATAAATTTTGAAATAAATAATTATTTAGATAGTCATAACAAATTGAATTTGTTCGATAAATAGATTTATTTTTAAATCTTTTACTTATTAATAAATTTGTATTATTTTATTCAAAGTAAGCTTATGTGAACAAATAAAATCATTATATGACAAACCAAAAGGTTATGGCGATTCCAAATCAATAATTGTTCAAATGGCTATAATTATTTAAACTTGTTTGGTAAATAATACTAATTTATAATTAAATAATATTTAATTAGATATAACTTAAAAAATTATTTTGAATATTATAATTATTATACTATTGTAGTATATTATTTTAACTATTTATTCAAATATTTGATTACTAATATTTCATAAAATACATATAAATAGTCTATTATAATTGTTATTATAGTCTATAATAAATAGATAATAATCTATAACTAAATCTTTGATTAAACTAATAATATAAAATCTAGTTATTATTATAATTTATATTTAATTAATAATTAAATTATTATAAATATAAATTATTAATAATATTTTTTTTTGACAATGTATAGATTGTGTTTATTAATTTAAATTTAAAAAAGTATTTGAATTTTAAAATTAATATAAATGTTGTCGTAACGGTTTTGTGTCTGCCCAACAAATTTGGAAACAAAATTAAAAAAAAAAAAATAATGGAGTCATCACTAATCTTTTTTGGCTATGTGCGATTGGCCACCTAGTAAAGTATATCCTTTTAATAAAATCTTAAAATTAATTAAGATATTTATATAATAATATTAACTTATTTATAATTTATAAATAATCTAATTGTAATCCTTTACTAATCAAATAATTTATAATATATTTTGCAATTAGTATAAAATTATACTTATATTAATAAATAATTGTTCATATAGACAAAAATTAACTATTTTTAATTTATTTAAATTAATAATTAATAATTAATAATATTAATTTCAATTTTATTAACAAAACAATTGTCTTAAATAATAATAATATTATTATATATAATAAATAATAACTATATAATTTGAAACTATCTATTTATAATTATTAATATGAATAATAAGGGGTTAAATTAAACATTGTTATAGTTACATTAATTTAATTAATATTTATTAATTAAAGATAATGAATAGATTTAATTTAATTAAAATTAATTAAATTAAATGTATTGAATACTAAATATTAATAATTAATATAATTAATATTAATTTAATTGTATTATAATTAAATTAAAGTTAAGCTAATCATGTTAATATTATTATAATTTAATATATTTTATAATAATTAACTATATTTATTAAATCTTATAATATATTAAATTATATATTCATTAATTATAATATATTTATATTATTAATTTTTATTAAATACTAATTATTAATAAATAGTATATATTTAGTATATAATATAATTATTCTTTATAAGTAAAATATTTACTTTAATTTATAATAGTTATAACAATTAATGAATTTGTTAT